CCCCAAAACCCCAAAACCCCAAAACCCCATCAATCTTAGAATTAAAAGTTAGATAGTGGAAATTAAATTTATCAAAACTAAAACAGCAGTAAGTATATAATTTCAAAAGGCAGACTTAACGAATTCCTCGAAGTTAAACATTCCATGCTCATCACAAAGTGAATTAAGTTGATTGGTTAATTAGAGGATTTCCACATCTTGCAATCCCATTTCCCCAAGGATATCCTTTACTCTGTCTAATTTAATAAAACCTGGTCTCTCATATTCTTTTGACAGAAGCTATATTCAAAATTAGAAATCATAAGATAATTATCTTTACCCTGAAAGCATTTTTGACATCTATCTCATTATATTGATTATTGCTTTTTAATGAGAATATTTGTAAGAAGTCTAAAAAATGTAAATGTAAACAAAATTAAATCGTTACCGTTGAAGCCAAGAAGATCTTTTTTTGCAAACATCGATTTGAATTCGGCTTCTTATTTCTCATTGGGCTTGAAGTCAACCATCTCAAAGATTCTGCAAAGTGCTGCATAGTCTATCTTTTCATCTTTAGCATGCAGGTTAAAGATTTCTCTGAAATATTTCTTATCCATTTCAGAGATCTTTCCTTTTCCAGCTCTCGCCATTATTTCCTCTTATTTTTTTCTAAAATTAATATGAAATTATTGATAATTTTTAAGTATTGAAGTTGATTTTAACTCATTTATTCTTAAAAATAAAGATGAATAATAATAATCTGAGGAACGATAATTTTTAGGAGCAACCAGAGTTATTTAATCTATCTTCAAATCGCACACTCAACAATTCAAACTAATAATTAAAATAAGATAGTTATTTAGCTGACGCTCTCAGAACTTCTCTTATTGCTGATGATAAAGACCAGAATTATGTTGAAAACGGTATTAGAAGTCCAGGTTTATTGTTTTAAAATGATGGAGGAGTTAATCAACAACAGACAGCAAACACTTTTAATAACACCTTAGATCGTGATAATTTTTTCAATATGACAAGGCAGCATGCCAACACCTACAAGCCACTCAGTAAGTCTAATGTTCGCTTCGCTCAAAATAATCAAGCTAAACAAGCCTATACTATATGAGGCGATAACAAATCCAAAGTAAGAAATATATTCGCTAGTCTTAAACTCAGCCAATATTAGGACGATAATGTTTAGTCGAAAAGGATAGATAGGATCAATCCTAATAACGTAAAGAAATATGTTCAGCATGAAAAATTCTAGGGCTTCTAAATCAAGCAATTCATCTCAGAGCAATAAGAAAGACTTGATTCTGACACTATAAAGCTCAGAACAAACAACAGTTCACACATCAGTAATAGCAATGGTAAGTAGTCTTTTTACTTTTTATTTTTAAATTTAAAATAGAGAAGCAAAAAGAGCAAATCAAATACAAAATAGTTCAGAAGCTCAATCAAAATAATCACAAAGGGCATGATTCTAACTAGAGTGTCTAGACTGCTTCTTCTACCAAGAATTAAAATGCTAAGGCAGTGGAGAAAGGGCTTAAAGATGAAGTAGAGCATCAAACTCACAAGAAAAACTAGACAGTTGACTTTGATGAGGAAGGAAAGAAAAGTGAGTACAATTTAGAGAAAGATTCTGGCAGAAAAGGCATTTTCGATAAGATTATGGATTACACTAATCTAAAAATTGGCAACATATTTAGAGGAGAGAGTCCCGCAAATAGATCAAATGAACCTTTGAAATCTGAAAGAAACCTTAATTCGAAAACACAATTATAAACATCAAAACCACCACTTAATGTAAAGAGACCCTCATAGCAAATAGAAACAATATTTCAATATCCCCGAAGTAATAAATAACCTGAGTAAAAAGCAGACGATGATTAGCAGGTTTATGTCAGTTCCTTTTAAAATCAATAGCCCTATGATTCACGAAGTAGAGATCATAAGGCTTACGGATCAAAAGGTCCAAGTCAAAGATTGAAATCAAGTCCTTCCAAATAGAATATACTGGCAAGAAAAAATGGAGTTACTAATAGAGTAGCTAACACTGGTCAAAATATGATGTTAAAAAACGAAGTGCTTGCATTAATGCCAGAAGTATTAAGTAATAATAGAGTTTAACAGAATAAAAGTGTGTAAAGATAGTAACATCCAGAGATGACACCTCAAAATCAAGGCATTAAAAATCATATAAGAATCGTTACAACTGATCTTAAATACTAAGATAATCTAAATCATCCTCAAATTATTTCTTCTAAGTCAAGTAATTAGATCACAAGTCCTGTTAGTGGCTGTAGTGCAAACAATAGTGCTAAAAAAGATGATAATAAATTGACCTTGAAAGAACTTTTAAAAGGATCTTAAACTTAAAAAGACAGTAATTAACTTTAGGTACCAGATATAGATAATTTATTCAACTTGTATCAAAAGCATACAATAAAATCAAGCCAGAACAGCTTAAAAATTCCATCCAGTAAATAAAACCTCAAGAGTAATCAATCAAGCTCAATTAGTCCAAGACTTGATCTCTCTAATTCAAACCTTACTACTGCAGTTCCAAGTCCCAATCCTCCTCATCAAACTGGTAAAACTCCTGGGGAGGCTCTTCATCTTTACAAAGATGAGCTAACAATGTATGAAAAAACTGAACTTACTCAATTTGATCAGATTTACACAGTTGGGTACTATAGAAGATAGGCTTTATCTGAGGTGGCAGATGCTGAAGGATACTATCGAGCTAGAGTAGGAGAGTAAATTGGCTATCGATATGAAATTAGTGCAATAGTAGATAAGGGAGCATTTGGTCAAGTAGTTAAGTGTATTGATTATAAAGAGGCTGGCAGGGAAGTTGCCATTAAAATTAGCAGAAATAAAAAATTTGACACTGATAATGCTTAAGTAGAATATAAAATACTTCAAACTTTAAAAAAAGAAGATCCAACTGATAAACATGGAGTCGTTAGAATTATTGATAGCTTTCCCTTTAGAAAACATATGGTACTTGTCTTTGAGCTATTAGGAGCGAATTTATATAAGCATATGAAGAGCGAAAACTTCAAGTCATTCTCGAGAGACTAGCTTAAAAATTTAACACTATAAATTCTGACACCCTTATCATTCCTTAAGCAGGTAGGAGTAATACATTGTGACTTAAAACCAGAAAATATTCTTTTTACAGATGAAAAATATAATCATCTAAAGGTAATCGATTTCGGTTCATCATGTTTTTCCTATAAACAAGGATTTTCTTACGTCCAATCTCGATATTATAGGGCACCTGAAATTCTTTTAGGACTTCCATACTCCTGTGCTGCTGACATGTGGAGTTTAGGATGTATTGCTGCAGAGCTCAAGACTGGCAGACCTTTATTCCCAGCTTGTGATGAAAACGAGTTGTTAGAATTTTTGGTTATGATAGTTGGACTACCACCAAGTGAAATGATTGATAAAGCACGTAAAAAGAATAAATTCTTTGATAAAAATGGCAGAATCGTCAGATCTAAGCAAAGTAGACTCCTCTCATAAGGAAAAAGAACTTATCCTTTAAGAAAACTAATAGATCATGATCCTGTGCAAGATGATGAATATATAGACTTCCTAGAAAAATGTTTGGAAATTGATCCAGAAAAAAGACTTACTCCAGATCAAGCAATGTAGCATCCTTGGCTTAAAAACACAAAATAAATCTATGATTTGCTCAATAAATGCGGCTAAAGTTCAAATAACTATTAAAATTAGGGATGGCATCCTAACACAGAAAAGAACTCTGCTCATATCAATAATTTCATGAACAGCCATAATCATAACAATAGTAACTGCGATAACAATTAAGTTGACGAACTTAAGCTAGACTTCTCTTAAGTTGTTGCCCGTTAGCCCCCCATTTATTTGAAAAAACTCTCAAGCCAAGAAGAGGAAGACATTAGATAGAGTGAAGCTAATATGAGTTCTACTGTAAGAAATATGCCAATGAGTATGTAAAAGAGACAGTAACTACAGTAGTTTCTAATAAAATGAATTCATCCCCACAAACCTTCCCTAATGCCTACTACAATATAATAAGATAGTCATCTCATGTAAAATTTATTGATTTAAATAGAACAAGTTCACTCATAGATATGATATTTTATCATTAGGGGTTTTGGGGTTTTGGGGTTTTGGGGTTTTGGGGATGAATTCAT